ACATCAGACGAGTAGTAATGTGGGATTTAATAATGAAAAACAAATTCAGTGAGCCACTGTATAAAGAGTATTTCAGCCAATGGGAATGAAGAATGGTAGATGGGGTTGGGGAAGACTGTCGAGGTCCTGGGAGTTTCAGTCCAACAAAGTCCCACGACTGGAGCGAAAAGTGGGCTTTCTGGATTCAGGCCAATGGGACACTCCATGGTTTGTACCGCACACAGGTGGAAATGGCTGGGTAGGGTTAGGGCATGAGGGAAGCAGGGGACATAAGTGTGCAGATCAGGCAGGGAATGTCTGCCACTCAGGGTGAGGACATGTGAAGAGTTTAGGGTTGATAGCTCATCGCCTGGTCCAGAGCAATGACTGTACGGAGAGATAAAGAGCGACAAGGTTGATTTCTGTGCTTTGGGGGCACCAGGCCTGTTTAAAATTTCATAAATGGGCTATCATAATTTCATCAGGAGACTTTCAGGCATTTCTACAAACATACTGTGTATATATGTTTGAGTAATATGTGTAGAATGAGGTATTTGCATTTTGATAGTAAATATGCATAAGCTACTATTTTTTATTAGTTGATATTCACATTTACACATCAATTTGCAAATTCCTCATCCTATGCTTATTACCCATTCGACACATACACCCACATACACACATCACACACTTACAGACATTTTCTAGTAACCAGACAAGCCTGCACATTAATACAAATCTGCAGGAAATCCCACTTGGGGCACATCTTTGAAATCTCTAGCTTTAAGAATAAAGAACATTGTCCTTTTGGGTGGAATACTCACCAAATCTAGGGGGAATTCTAGCTGTACGTGACACATGATATAGACATGAAATAATTCCTACCAACATTTGTATGTACTTTTATTTAAAAAACTGTGAATGATTTTCATGTCTGGAGAAATCCAAGATGCTTAAGCTAGGACCACCTGAAGATTTGTTTAATATGCAGTACTCTTAGATTGACTACAATATATATTGATAGATACACATAAAGTGTATATGTGCATGCAGCCATTCTATAAGTGTGTGCACATGTACACAGATATGTGTATGCCTGATGTATATATACAAACAGTATGTTTAATAAAACCTTTTGCAGTTTTACTTTAACAGGCAACCATTAACATAAGCAGGTTAAGGATCCTTTAATCTAGGATGCTTGATCTTCCAATTAACCCATGGAGCAGATTTTCATTTACTATTAATTCGCTGCAATTCCATTATCTGTAGATCAAGCCACTTTGCTGAGACAAGATACTATTTTCCTCTTCATTTG